TGGAAAACTCACTGATCTTGTTCCAAAGTTATCAATTGTGGACTCCAGACTGGTCTTGTTCCTGATGCTAAGATAACTCAAGTTTCCAGACAGACATATTGAGTTTCAGGTCTGTTCATCTTCTTCGGCATCGACTGTTTGGCATCCGCAATGTGGTACAGTTTTCTTTAAATCTGGTCATGATATAGGAGAATGCTCCAGCAAAATTAGATAAACCCATTAAAACTTCATAATGACATTTGCCAAATGCCTCCTAGTGCTGCTTAGGTAATGTTTAGAGAGTATGGTAACATAAGTTAAAACAAATGTGAACATTTCCTTGTGCCATTTGTCTTTTTAGCAAATTCACTCTTACAAGTTTATATAAAGATAATGGAAAAGTAATTGTTGTGATGACTAAAACATACATTATCTCCACGTAACTAAGGTAACCAAGTTTGGGATATGATGGAATGGTGTTGCTCTGGTTCTATCAAACGAGTTTCCATCCAACGTCCCTGGTACAACATCATGTACACATCATTCTGTGACTGACTCACATACACAAACAAGCACAAATCACAACTGCTTATAGCTTGAAAATATATTTACTTGCAGAGAACAGAGAATATACTACAGTCAAATCCCGATGAGTCGAATGCCAGTGTCTCGAATATTATGCATAACTCGAAGTACCTGTTGGTCCCGACCATTCCCTGTTATAGTTGTCATCATTTGAATACCGGTTACACGAATTCGTCTCATAAATACACACGATGACTCGAGAATGAAATTTGGTCCCATGAGATTCAAACAACAGCAATCTTGTATACATAAGCCGAAGTCAGTCAATGAGAAGTTGATTTGTGTAGCAAACTGATCAAATTAACAAACCAGCGCAGCTCACACCTTTCCGCCATTTACGGGTGAGTTCAAAAGGCAGGGGGCGGTGGGGTAGCCTAATGGTAAAAGCGTTGGCTCGTCACCCGAAGACCCGGGTTCGAATCCCCACATGGGCACAATGTGTGAAGCCCATTTCTGGTGTCCCCCGCCGTGATGTTGCTGGAATATTGCTAAAAGCGGCGTAAAACCAAACTCAGTCAGTCAAAAGGCAGATTAGTGATTTTACGGAAATCACTGTCTGTGCTAATCAGACTGGAACTGATAAGGTGCCCCTATTAGTGATATGGAAATCATTAGATAAACAAATGCTTAGGTGGAGGAATTAGGACTGGATCATCTTTTTTCTACCCTCATAGACATACCTATGTCTCGAATACATCGATAAGATGAATTTATTACTTGGTCCCCAGCGATTCGACTCATCGGGATTTGACTGTATATTAATGCCTGAAAAATATCAGCCTTAATTATCTACCAATATAGATTCCATTGGGTGTTAAAGGCAAGATAAAGGTGAAAATTACATCAATGGTTCACTGAACAACTGAGATGACAGCAGATGTTCGCAAAAGGGATAAGCTTGCCCCGATCTATGGGTAGCACCCACCACTCACAGAATTTGTATAAAATGGTAAGCATTCGATTATCTGTGCCTAACTCCTCTCAGCAACTTCCCTGTAAGAGTCATTCTGAATTCATTATTCTGAAATGTTGAAGTTCAGTGCTGTCACTGTGCACGTACACCAGACTTCAGTCCACAAATTCAGCTGGACTAATGAAGCCTGGTCACCATGCAGGGATGGAATTTACTCCTTCCCTACACAAAATATCCAGTGCTGTGGCAGTCTCTCATGGCAGTTTTACGCAAGAGGCTTGGCGTGACATTAACCAGCTAACCCGATTGACCTTATCCAAAAGGCTTTCCAGTGAGATTCTTCTTCCAATTTGGTATCACTTCCAAGTCTGCAGGCTACCACTCCGATTTGTCACATATAAATACACCACTGACTCATGAACTGGCCAGGTTAGGATACAGAATACATCTTCCTTCTTCAGTTCATGAGTATGTCGTTGCAAAGGCAGACAACTGTCATCTGAAGGATTATTTCATATTATATATTAGCATTAGACTGATGTCCAGGATGGAACCATAACTTGTTCAGTCCCTTTGAGTCAGATGTCAGACAACTGAAAGATTCTCTTGTTCACCTGGGAACTGTTTCTTCGGCTAAATAGTGCAAGCATGGCTGGAGGTCGTTTTTTAAAGTGTACAGAGTGATTCTATCATTTCACTTTTCCACAAAGACTGACACTGTTTCTGTATGTGATGCCCAAAAGGAACTATGATTACCAGGATCCATCTAGACCTAGTCTGAGGCTAATATTGTTCCCAAGCCTACAGCAAGTGTCAGTTAAAACTCCCACATGAAAAATGTTTGTTTAAATAGTTTTATCTAGTTTTATGTCTTTGTGGAGGTAACCTGTGTATCACTGGTACCAAGGCCTACTAAGACAAAGAGACTATGCTGCCATGTTATTAATGAATACAATGTTAAAATACTTCAGAACTAATAGTTAGTGACTATGGTCTTACGCCGTTTTTAGCAATTTTCCAGCAATTTCATGGCGAGAGACACCAGAAATGGGCTTCACACATTCTACCCATCTGGAGAATTGAACCAGGGTCTTTGGCGTGACAAGTGAACTCTTTAACCACAAGGCTATCCCACCGCCCCTCAGAGCTGAGAACAATAGAAACTAGTTTGAACTAAGGGCACTTATTATCAAATCCTAGATGAATCCCTGTTATTACATACTATTACTAACCATAAAAACACTTTGGCAGTATGTGTGTGTTTATGTTAATGACAGTTTTATTTTTGGAGACTCTGCCAAAGTCCGAAGATGTTTTGTCAGGTATAGGGGAATAATAGCTTGAGCCCGACCTGGAAACCAGCCAAGTCCTTTGCTTCCTTCAAAGCAGGGCATGAAAGTTCTGTGGTAATTGCTGACTTGAGGGTGAAGCTCCATAACACAAATGTAAAGTCAGCTTTCAATCCCAGCACAGATGATGACCTTCCACACAACTGAGAATGCATTGTACCGACCATGAGAAAATTTCCCCGAAACTCTGGAAAACCTGCATGTGTGTCTCAGCTCATCAACTCCGCAGACGAAGTTTGATGACGGTCTTAGAAATGCAGTGAACAAATATATTCATTGAAAACACTAGTGGGTCTATATTGATGAAATCTGGAAGGCAGCATATTCAATTCCCTACATATATATCACATGTGTCAGCGTTACAGATTAGATTCTTTAAACATTTACTATTCTCAGTACGACTTTTTACTGTGTGTATTCTTAGTTACTATTTCCAAAACAGGAAAAAAGAACTTCCCTCTGATGCCATTTCCTATCTTTAACATCAATTCTTGATTCTAAGAGGATCAGAGAAAATGATCAGCGATCTCATACAACTCCATGAAAGAAACAACTACATCATTAGGTCTTAATTAAGGCTGTTTCACAATGGCGCATTGGACAGTAGCTCGCTGAAAGAGATGACACTCTTTCAAGCGTCAGCCACATTCACAATTCATAAACATCATTACCGAGGGTGAGCCAGGGTAGGAAACCATTTACAGTCACTGAGTGGAGACTACTCATCCATGGTATTGTCAACAAACCAGGAACTACGAAAATGTGAAACACTTTGAATGGTAACCTATTGGGTAAAAAAATAGTCAAGATTGTCCAATAGAAAATTGGACGACACAGACTCCTTTGAAGAAGATTCAGTATTGATTTCCTGAATAATTCAACCAGACTGAATCAATGTCATTGATTTCATCTTTAAGCTCCGAATTTCCATCATGACTGAATCAAGACATATTTCATTTAGGGACCACCATGATAGTCAAAGTGCTCCTCACTGACACACCATGTCCAAATCAAAACACGGGCTTCTGACAAGGCTTTGATCAAGAGTCTGCTTCCACTCGAGAACTTCATGTAATAAGTCTTGCTCCGAGATGAGGGCATTTCTTTACTTTCAATCATTTTCAAGACAGAAAGGACAAAGTGATTAATACCTAACAGGAAATTAAGTTTGATCTTGAGACTGCAACACAGGGAAGTCAGATAGAAGCTGTCAAAACCCAGGCTGTGTTAATAACTCTCAGCTATTTGTGGACAGGGTTACATTCCAACTTTGAGCTTTGATGCTTGAACAGGTATAAATTTAGCATAAAAACCTTTTGAAATCATCCATCAATCATCCATCGACACATCAACAATTATATTCCATAATGATGCAATAGGTTTGTTATAAATGAACCAAATTATCTGAAATTGAAAACAAGATGTGATCATAAGCTACAGTGTGGGTCCTCTATAACATGACATCTTCATATATGAGTGACATAATTCCTTGAATGCAAACTTCTTATCATGTGAAGTGATTTCTTCAGAGATGCAAACATTGTGTGAAGTTGAACAGTGAAGTTACAATTCTGATATTTTGGAACAGCTTGCCTTGTTACCGTGTTCTCGTAGATAATGCCTGGGGCTTGATAAAGTTTGGAGTTCTAAAGGTATGTTACCAGGCGAAATCTCTGCCAAAAGCAACATGTAGCATTTTAACAGACTTGACCCTATTATCAGTGTTTACCATTCTGATAAAATGCCCGTCTGCTCAAAAGGTTGCCAGCCCACATCCTTTTATTATGGACTGAAAAGTAACAACAAATAACAACAGAAGAGAATATTACGAGATGATGCATCGCTCTTTTATACATGGAATAATTATAACAAATTTTCTATGACAATCCTATTCGGTAATAATGTAAAGGATTATTACCAAGGATTTCATTTAATAATTTTTTTAAATTAACTACCTAAATCTTTACCAAGGATTTCCGCCAGATCATTAGATGTGCCTAAAGCAAAAGTCAAACATGTGGGGCAAAAACAACCCGTCTCACACTGGTGGCCAACTCGTGTTTTATAAAAGCTTGTGGTGAGGTGGAGATTAAACAAATCAGCAAGACCAAAAGAAACTTGATAAACACTGGTCTGGGCTAGGTATAAACCAGGAAGAAGTATATTACACCTACCCATGTTTCTCGCTTGCCAGCATTGTCGACAAAGATTAGATGTGTTGTAGTTAGGTAGAGGGTGCCAACCACGGGCTTCCTCGCATTGAAGCGGTCCATGAGCTTGACATTCTCCACCTGAAACACAAACACACATATATACTACCATGTCACAGGAGAAAGTCACTGCCGAACACTAGTAGGGAAGGATACTCTGTCACATCATATCACACTTGGGCACATCATACCATACTGTATGTCATGTCTTCTTAATGGGTACCATCATATGATAAAGGGTCACATGTACAAGATCACATATAATGCAGAGGCACATCATACAATTCTGGATCACATCATATGACTTGGGTTACGTTATATTATACTTGAGCACATCATACAATTAAGCGATACATATACAAGATCACATCATATGATAAAGGGTAATTTATACAAGATCACATAATATGATACAGGGGCACATAATATGATAAAGAATCATATATATACAAGATCACATCATATGATAAAGGGTAATTTATACAAGATCACATAATATGATACAGGGGCACATAATATGATAAAGAGTTATATATATCCAAGATCACATCATATGATAAAGGATCATATGATACAGGGGCACATCATATGATAAAGAGTCATGTATACAAAATCACATATGATACAGGGGCATTTGAAAAACAAGCATCACATATACAAGACCACATCATATATAATATACCATCACATCATACAATGCTGGGTCACATCACAATTTCTGAATCACACCAGTGTTACATTATATGATGCTGGGTCACGTCACATGATACAGGGTCAACCATAATGCAACAGAGGAAGCACCTGAATGAGTAGTCCAGAAAAGGCCATTACATCATCAATTTAGGTTTCTGAATTATAGCATGAGCATGTCACATTGTGAACAAAAACAAAGTGTTTTGTCAGAATACTGACCTGAACACATCATAAAACAAGTGTTTGCCACTGATATGGCAATGTCCCCCGCTGCTAAGGAATTGAATATCTATATTTACTACTTTTTATTTTTGGGTCACATACAAGATGCCTGAAATGACTGGCGTCTGCATAATCACCCAATGTAGGCTGTCAACATACTTGAAACATTGGGTGCAATGTTTTATCAGATATCCGCTTAAAAAGCGGTCAAAGTATCGTGGTGACCTTGAAGATAAGGTCAAGGTCACCCAAATAGACTGGTGTCTGTGTAATACTCCATGCTGTCACCAAATTTGAAGACATGGGTACAACAGTTCATGAGGAACAAGAGTTGGAAAAGTGGTCAAAGTGTCGTGGTGACCTTGAAAATAAGGAGTCAGCAAATAATGTGTCTGCGTAATCCCTAATGTAGGCTGACACCATGAAGACATTGGGTACAACAGTTCTGAGGTCGCGTGAACAAGAGTTGGAAAAGTGGTCAGAATCTCGTGGTGACCTTGCAAATAAGGTAGGTCACGCAAATCACTGCGTGTCTGCGTATAAATGTAGGCTGACACCTTGAAGTCTGGGCAACAGTACAAGCAACAAGAATCGGACATACACATACACACTTAAGGACGCTGCCATAATACATAGTCCTTAAATATTCTCAAGCACAAAAATATCGTTAATCTGCCTCAATTTCATCTGTCCTCATTCCTCACCAAGGAGAAACACCAGCTCCTTGAACAACTACCTGAGAGCCAGCTTATCTGTCCATACATTTCACATTCAATGTCCCATACATAAGGGTGTAAAATATGCTTGAAATGATCCATATAGACTAGTGAGAGTGAGAAGAGTTTGAAACGTTTGCATTAAGATTAAGAGAGGGAAGAAATGCACAATGCCATCTGTGCCATGCAGTGTAAATCTGAAGCACCCTATGGATCATCTGGATGGCACTGACTATGATGCATCCTCGAATTAGCACCTACTTTAGCCAAACTGTCTCTGCCCTATCTGATCGAGACAGTGGGGACAACAGATTAGTCTCGTTCATGCATTTGAGAATGGAAAGATCATTACCCATCTCTCCAGTAATCACTTCAACGATGAACATGAATACTGGTGACCTGATCAGTCCAGTAAGCCCCAAGAGGGTGTCTGAAAGACCCAACTAAACTGACACTGATAATATCCACTGGCATCATGTATGCATTAGCTGAAGTCAGGCAGGCAAATGCTATCGTTCCTCTGGCAGCAGTGAGTGTACAGAAGACTTAGATCCACAAAGATGTTTTTATATCAATTTCACCCTACATTTATTGCACTTAATTTGGCACCACATTACACCCCCGTTCCAATTCTTCACCAAACCAGCCATTTAACAAACACTGTGTCCTCAGACACAAAATTGGAAATAATTGATTGCTTGTTCCCAAGGCAGTGGCCATAGATTAGTACAGATCTGGTTTATAAACCCGAACCAATCCACATATCCAGGGGAAGATCATCTCATTTCCCGGCCACACGGAAACACTCTGTCTCTCAGCCTCTATGTTTGGGCTGACAGTCCAAAGAAAGTCTCGCAACATGAAACACCAGTAGGTGACTTTGATAACAAAACCTCTCAGTAGTCAAACTTCTAGCAATGGTTGAATTGGAAAATAAAGAGGAAACTCCACTTCCTATTGTGCTTTAGGTGACATTATCACGGTGATATTGGACACAGTTTACTCATCACCAACTACTTAGGTCCTTATAGCAACATATTTGTGTCTTCGTGTCAACATATTTGGTGATTTGGGTCTTATCAACATATTTGGGGTGTCAACATATTTGGGTCCTTATAGCAACATATTTGGGTCTTCGTGTCAACATATTTGGGTCCTTATAGCAACATATTTGGGTCTTCGTGTCAACATATTTGGGTCTTTGTGTCAACATATTTGGGTCTTTGTGTCAACACATTTGGGTCTTCGTGTCAACATACATATTTGGGGTCCTTGTATCAACATATTTGGGTCATATTTTGTATCAACATATTTGGGTCCTTGTATCAACATAATGGGTACTTGTATTAACATATTTGGGTCCTTCATAATGGGGTCCTTTTGCATTAACATATTTGGGTCAACTTGTATCTTGTAACATATTTGGGTCCTTGTATCAACATAATGGGTACTTGTATTAACATATTTGGGTCCTTGTATCAACATAATTGGGTACTTGTATCAACATAATGGGAACTTGTATTAACATATTTGGGTCCTTGTATCAACATAATGGGTACTTGTATTAACATATTTGGGTCTTTGTATCAACATAATGGGTACTTGTATTAACATATTTGGGTCCTTGTATCAACATAATGGGTACTTGTATCAACATAATGGGGTCCTTGTATCAACATAATGGGTACTTGTATTAACATATTTGGGTCCTTGTATCAACATAATGGGTACTTGTATTAACATATTTGGGTCCTTGTATCAACATAATGGGTCTTGTATTAACATATCATAGGGTCCTTGTATCCTTTGTATCAATCAACATAATGGGTCCTTGTATCAACATATTTGGGTCATCATGTCAACATATTTGGGTCCTTGTATTAACATGGTTTGGGGCAGGGCCTAACAGATATCATGTAACTACTGGAAATTAGTAGGCTAGAAAAGTAGTGTTTATATGACACCTTAAACTACATGATTGTCACCACTAGTACTTACAGATATGTTCTCAGGTGGCTAGTGTTTATATGTTTGTGTAAATCGACACACCCTTTCCATAACCATAGGAATTTCATTCTAAGATTCTGACCATGTAATGTAATGACACTAAGTTCATGAATCACTATCACATACTAGTGATATTAGGAAATGAAGGAATCCCACCCAAACCTTAAATCTGTTGTAATCTGTCTCCGTGGAACACAAACAGAACGCCCTAGCACTTCCAACAAGTACAGTTCCATCCTGTAGCAACAGATTACTTACTGCAATGTGTGCGATGACGTTTCGGTGTAAGTACTAACACCGTTATCATTCAAGTGATCCGTGATTGATAACCGTGTTAGTATCTATACCGAAACATCGTACTCATTGCAATAAGGAAGTTGACTATCCATAGAAATTGGTCTTCCTTCATCTTTACAACTTCTAAAATGCCTCTCAAAGAAACATATTACGTAGTATTCCACATTACATATTACATAGGACAGAGATGGAGACTGCAACAAATCCACTTTCAGGTGAAGGTGATACCTATCACAATATTGGGTAAGTATAAATACTGGGCCATGACAACAGTAACAAGTCAGCTGGTATTATGTACTATTCAGCATATCCAGTGACACAATAACTAAATATACTTGACATGTTTGGAACATGTTGACGGTGTAATTTAGTATTCATGTAGACCACTGGACACATGATTATAAAATTCAACATATCCGAGTTTTGATTATGATCTGCCTTGGATATATTCCATTTTGCTTTGCTAAATAACACCAAAATGCAAGTAAAAACATTCTTTTTTTCAAAATTCATGAATACTCAAGCCTTGGCTATATTCCATTTTGCATAACTCGCTTTGCTAAATAACACTCAAATGCAAGTAAAAGCATTCCTTTTTGAAAATTCATGAATACTCAAGTCTAGTGCATAAGGAACTGAACTCATGAAAGGATATGGTTTTCGTTACAGAATAAATGAATATATCAGCCTTACTAGAGACTAAGGGATCGTGGGGTCCCTGCAGCAAGCCCTTTGTCATGACCCTTAACACTCAGTTTCAACATGATATAAGCTGAAAATAAGTTTGATGATCAACAAGTTCTTTTCATAACCCTAATGTTACAAGCTATAAATTAAGAGAACATACACTCAAATACCACAGACTACCTGAAAAAGGCCAGGACATATTTAATACAAACAGAGTTGGAGAGACTTCAGCCCGTATTCCCCCTTAAATTTAATTCTAGTCAAATCATATCACCTCAATATATATTACGATGAGGAATAAGGATGAGTTTTAGCATGTTTCTTTAATTGTATCTGAACATACTGAAAGGCATATTCAACTTCTGAATATGCCACTCAAAGAAAGTTTTCCCCTACATTAAAATTTAGGGGGGATACGGGCGGAAGTCTTACCACCACAAATGGGTTTCACACATTGTA